AACTGATTATGCTTACACGTGGGGGTAGTGCTGCCTCCAGGACAGGTAAAGCAGGGTCAGCTGTTTGCAGATCCTGTGACAACCCTGGGCCGCAGAGCTGTGGTTTGGCTCCTTGCCGCCAGCCAGGCTGGCAGCCACCAGCTGAAGCCTCTTGTCAGCAGGCAGGGGAGCAGCAGCAGTGCAGCAATAGGGACCTCTGTGGTGATACCGACACAGCTGAGTGGGATCTCAAGCTCCTGTGTTGCCAAAGCAAGGGGTCTCAGCTCTCAAGCAGAGCATTCGAGTCCTCTGTGAAGTGCAGCCACCAAAGCGAGACATGATCACACTCCTGAGAAGGTCTGTTTTTCCATCTGCTATAGGAAAATCCTACAAACATCAACACAAGCCAAAACGCAATCCTTCCTCTGGCCAGCCCTACTGGCAGTAAGCAAAGCCACGCTGTTAGTAACCTGCTATGAACCTGTGAATGTGCATTTCAGACTGTCTTGTGAGCTTCTGATTGGGGCCTTTGCCATGCCATCATCTCAAAGCTGGATCTTAGCAAGCAGGGGCTAAATTAAGGTTTTGTCCAAACTGTGTTGTTTGGCATGTGTAAGGCTGTGCAGAACCTATTAAGATCGTGTTAATGCAAAGCTGTAAAACTTCATAGCAGAGAGACTGTAGTGATCAAAACTAAAAAATTAAAGGGAGAAATTAAGTGCTCAGGATGTTTTTAGTTCATTTCCTGAAAGGCAAATAGGTAGCACACATTGCAGGAGAAAAATTAGCACAACAGGTATTTTAGGTTTACAAAAGAGAAACAGACAGATTCTCACATGCTCCCTGAGGGCTAAACAAGCTGTGCTGCCGCCAGCATTTCCCAACACGGAAACCTGGCCGGGTCCGCAGGAATAGCACTTCAAAAGACCCCATTCAACGGCTTTATTTGCACCTGGATTGCCAGGAAACCAAAGCTTTAAATTTTCTCCTAAATTCCCTTATCTTTAGAGATGACATGGAGTCACCTGACTGTGAAGAAGTCTCCGGTTTTTGAGAGATGGTGTTTTGCTTTTTGCACGTTTCACAATCAACAAAATGCTCAGTACCACCTATTTTTGCCAGTAAAACAAGGCTTGGCAACACTACAAGAAGGCAACTTTATCAGTGCTCAGCAGCATTGGGTAGGTAACCAAAAAGAGCAATTTCTTTGCTAACAGTGGTTTATGAAGATCTGGTGAATCTCTTCTGAATTCTGCATCTTTTCTGAACATGATCAACGTTACTTTTTCACGTTTACAATCCATAATTTCACTGCCACTGCAAGAGAATGAAAGGAATACAAGTGATACAGTTTGGTCACTGATAAGATAAAGATACTTACCTTAAATATGTGTGATAGACAGAAGTTACTGTGCTGCCTCTTGCATACAACTTACTGTCCCCCAGCTTTGAGATGATGGTATGGCAAAGGCCCCAAACAAAAGATACAAAAACACTTATTCAAAAACATTCAAAAGGTTTTCATTTTAATCTTTTCTGTACACCTATTATTTATATCTTAAATTTCTTCATTTTCTGAAGTAAAAATGCTTGGATTTACTGTGTGGTAAGTGAAAAGCAGCAAACCTGTAGTTAAAGCAGCTATGTTTGAACTGAAAAAGAAAACTAGAAAAGCCTGTTCATCAATCCCATTGTCAGTGTCAAGGTGAGGATGCATTTGGGATAGGAGTCTTATACTCCTAAGGAAGATGTAAATGCCCTCATTTCAACACTACGCGACTTTCAGTGCAGGTCACTGGTGGGCAGCCTGTTTTTGCAATAGACTGGTATCTTCCTTTAATTTTAGCAGACATAGCAAAACCCTTATAGCTAGCAAATTTCCTTCTAAAAAAGCAAATTTATATGACAGAAAAAACATTGAACTGACTGTATAAACCCAAAATATCATTAAGAATTTTCACAGAACCTCACATACCATAAGGTTAGCCCTTCCCTTTTCCAAAAACACAGCTTGCTTGTACAAATTTCCCCCAAATAACCTTGGTGTTGGGATGTTAGCCATAGACCTGCCTCGTACCTGGTTTGACGGAGACAAAATCCTTAAGAAGGAGTTTTTAAGACTTTTCAAGGCCAAAGAAATCAAGCACACTGTATTTTTCCAAGCATGACATAATCCTGGGTTAGCAGAATTTGCAAAACCTCTTGCATTTAGTTTAAACAAATGAAAATCAACCCATGGATCCCATATACTACCCAAATCATTCATAAAAACTGATGCTTGGGAGGCGATCAACCTCTGTTGGCTACACTGGCTCTTGGATTTACCCCACCTGAAATTCCTTTGGCTGGCAACAGCTCTGATCAGTTCTCATTTTCTGTTTATACTCTCAGTAGAACAGGAAAATAATTACCCATGTACAAGCTTCTTTTCCAAATCTTACGTTGAGCTGAGATTTCTGTAATTGAAATGCTGCAGAAACAGTTGCTCAGATTTCAGCAGCAGACACAGCCCTCAGTTTCCCACTTGGTCCAACAGACCATGATGCAATCAATTCTGAAACCTGGAGGGAACCATAGACCTCAGTAAAACACAATTTGTGCATGGTTTGCTTTTCAAGATACCACATTATCTTTCTTTAAAGATACTATTGCAAGTATTATTCTACTTGTAGCTCTACTACCTCAGGGGATAACAAAAGACACGATCCCCCTGCATAGATCCTATTCCTCATAACAGGAAATTACTGCTGCAGCCAGACTATTTCAGGATCTCAGCCGAGCATCCAGTCCACGTCTCACACTGACTTCTCATACTCTGTGCCCAGTTGCATGTTCTTTCCACGAACTCAATGATGGCTGAGAATGGAAAGGAAAAACAGCTGTACAAAGAGTTTTTCTGAGCCAGTTTACAGGAGCACATAAAGGTGGAACTGTCTCTGAGGGGAATAGACTTTTTAACTTGAAGAGACTCTGTGTAAAAACTGAAATGAACTTTTCACCAAAGGTTGCTTAAGCTTTGAATGGTTCAGTTGTCTGAAAGCAAATGGAATGAGACAGGGAATCAGGAGCCAGAAAACCACCCAGGTGTCTGTGCAGTACAGCAGCTCTGAATTCTGCAAAATGTTTCTTTTCAAACCAAATAATTCAAGAAAAACTGCAGCTTTGTCTTTATGCAGTTCTACTATACTGGTGTGAATAAAGAGCAAAAGCATATTTTAGTCTGGACACAGCTATAAGAGTATGAGTATTTATATTTGTATAGCACATTCTCATACAGAAAGAGGACTAATTTGTCCCAAGAAAAATTACTTTCATATATATGTAACTTTGTTCACTCTCTGGGCCATATGATATTACTCTAACTATGCTTTTAAAAGGAAAATCACAGCTCTAGATGACATTGTTATGCCAGTTTCTAGACCATACACAGAGAATGTATTTACTCTGGAGGGGCTCTAGGCCTCCCATAAGGTTCCGTTTTCTGCTTCCTCACACTAGCACTGGGAGTTTAAATATTCTAAGCAAAATATTTCGGCTTCTCCCTGACTCTTCTGCTCACACGCTGTATACAAGAAGTTAAACTTGCTTTCTTAGTTGTTGTTGATAAGTCCTAAGCTCAAAACAGAGCTTCAGACTGTTCTTTTAGTACTATTCCTAATTTTCTCTACACAATGCAACGTACTTCAATACTTTGAAGCAAACTACTGAAAACAAGTTTTAGAAAATCACTGAATTTATGAAAAGTTTATAAAGTATTAGTTCATGATTAATAGATGTGTACTAGCTATGGAGAATCCAATTAGTTGTTTGGAGGTATCTAAAACAGCTGGTGTAGGTATGTTTTACATTACGAGTGCTGCAGTGATTTTAGAATCTATGTGGTTAGAAAAAAGCCAGTATGCACTCATGTAGTAAAACAGCATGCCTCTAAATCTCAGCTTCCTTTTAATAAAGTAATAAGTCTCTTGCTGTTACAGTTCTAGAAGAAAAACAGTGATAATATGACTAGAATGGAACCAAGGCAGATGGCAAAGAGGGGTCTGGAATCATAGCTTCAGAGTGGCATAAACTTTTCCTGCCTGCACCCATTGCTCAACAATGACTTCAGTGTCAGCATTTTAAACAAACCCTCTTGTTGAAAGTCTGATTTATCCACTAAACTGAGTGAAAGGTGATACTGCTTATAGCAATCCCAATTTAAAGGCACTCCCCAAAAACTCAGTCTCAAGGCAAATTGAAGAGCTCCAAATGCAGACACCTCTCCATAGTCTAGATAGCACTGTCCTGCTTCCAGTATCTTGTACTTTGCTGTGAGCAGTATCTCTTACCCTGGCCATGTACTGAGGATTTGGGAAGTATTGTAAGAGTGTAAAAGATCTTTTGTTCCCCTAACTAGACCCTGCTGATAGCACATAATGTTCTTATTCAGAAGCACAGTAATAACTAGCAGGTATTTATGAACTCTTAATAAAATCATAAATGAACATCTGACAATGTGATATATATACTCTGTGTGTGTGGCTGCCATGTTTACTAAGGGGCAACATCTTTTTTTGTTTCACTGTAAACAAGATCATGACCACTGTCATCATGACCACTTAATCAGCATGGGACAGAGACATGCTACCCCCATCCTGAGGCTGGCGTTACACAAGGCATTTTTGAGCATCCCTTTGCTTTTGCATACCATTATGCTTCAAAGATAGTGTTATCTCTGAAGAAATGGCATTCATCTGTAGCAATCGAAGCACTGTTCAGTGCCCTTAAAGCAACCTGTCTCAGTTGAACCCAAAAAGGAAACAGGAATTTCAGAAGAGACGTGAGAACAAGGGGGCACCTTATGCTGCAGCCAGCTTCAGTATTAAACACATTTCGTAAGCAAGGAGCACAGCCAACCCTGTCACTACACTTTTATAAAACTGACCTCAGTCAGCCCTGACTGTGATGTGTCTGTGTGACTTGCTCTCAAAGCTGCTGAAGAGAATCTCTTGAAGATTTTTGTGAAGTTCTTTAAAGGAGAGATGGCACAAACTGGACTTATGATTTTTCTACTCATAAGCATATTGCTGCTGGATCAGACCATCAGCCAGGCTTCCAAAGTCAAAGCTAGGAAGCACAGCAAACGTAGAGTGAAAGGTACTGGGTTTTAACTGGGAGAAGGGATAGAGATTTATAGACTGTGCAAGGTTACTACGTACTTAACATTGTGTGAGTAAGAAAGTAGCACTAGTCAATTGTTTATTAACTAATGATAGTCAAGTCTATATTATGCCTGTCTTTCAAATATTTTTATGTGAGTTAGTAAAGCCATGAATGATGTGCTAGAATTAATTATAGAAATAAAGCTGCATTGCTTTTAAAAAATATCTTGCTCTTTTATGGCTGTTCATCTCTGTTAACAGCTAACATTATTTATGATACAAAGGTAAAGCTGAGAAGACTCCAGCCAATCATTCCTAGTTACACAGTTATATTGATTAAGAGCAGAAAAATGGAAATTCACGTACATTTGATGGAAAAGAGCAGAATAAAACATTAAGTCTTCAAGGGTTATTGTTCAGGTTTTTGTCCTTTTCCTAATTTTAACAAAATGTCTGTGTAATATTTGTGGGATACTATTTGTATGAGCAATATGGTGAAATTGCAAGTCAAATTAATAAAAAAGAATTTCCAAAAGAAGGATTAAATTCCCAGAGCAAAGATTACAAAGCAAATACAGAACCACTGACTGTTTGGAAAGGTCTGTGTACTTAATTTAAGGGCTTATTTCTAGTAGAAGTGTGCGTGATGGAGGTTACACTAATGGCAAATATTTAAGCTCCTTGTCAGTGGAAAATATGGAGCCTTGATAAAGTCACTGTACAGCACAGTTATACTGCTTTGGAGCTATAGACTTACATATTTTTATTTTTCCCTTTGAATCTTTTCAGTTCTTAGCTTGATATACCCTTGTGCTGCCAGCACATTTTTCTGTCTGCTTTCCACTGATAACTTCTGCATTTGAAACAGTTTGTCAAAATAATGGGTGTTCTGAGGATAAGTTACCCAAAATTATGAAATTCAGGATGTGGGTGCAAAAAAAAAAAAAAAAAGATCTGCATAAATAAGTGTGCTACTACTAAATAAATAAATAAATCAATAGTCCCAGGAGCTCATCTGTTCTGCTTTTTACCTCTTCCAAAGCAGAGAAGGGTCATGGAGAGACTACTGGGAACTGGGAGTCATAGGGAAGAACACGGACTGGGAGTCCTGCCATGGGGAACATAAAGGACAGCTGAGGTCAATCCCCTCTGATTAGGGAGTGTGGAGAAGGGACAAGCTTTCTGGGGTGGAGCTGGAGGATTAGGTGATGTAACATGATCTGTAGGAACTGTGGCTTTGTTAGTTCTGCTGCTTGTGAAAGAGCCTATTTATTCCTCCTGCTCATTACTGCGGCTTCTGGAAGGTTTGCTTACCACTGCAATCAAACTGTAAACTTGTGTAATGGAATCCTGTCTGCTATCTGTTTGATTGTGGTGGGCCATTAGAATGATTAAGAGGAAAAATATGCAAAAGAGAGCATGAAAAAAGAATTATTATGTGCAATTTAGCATCCTTTCTTATCTCATCATCTTTTTGGTACTTTTGTCAGTGTCACAAAATGGTGACATGGGCTGAATGCGGGTGACTCGAATCATCAATGGGGAGGAAGGCTCCCCCTGGGGAGTGGAGATTGTAGCTCAGCAAGCTCGTCTGCATGCATTTAGACATCAAACTTAGATTGTATGGGCTATCCCTCGCTGTGTTAAAAAGAAAGCCTTGTAAAACTTATGTGTACACAGAATCTTCTGTCCTGCTTTTGTTTTTATGACATATATATATATACAGACATGTACACGTACACCCACACACCACAGCATACAGGTTCAAATGTAAACAGGCAAATTTTGCTATAAACTAGAGATGGGCAGCTAGAATACTGATGCTTTAAAATGGCAAAATATGTCTTGGCAATGCAGAAACTCAACAGTTGTTAAAATGAAAAAAATAACTTTTTTGCATGCATACCTGCTTATTTCTCTGTATTTCTTTCATTAAAGAAAAAGATGACCTCAAGACCCAGATTGACAAGTTGTGGAGAGAAGTAAATGCTCTCAAAGAAATGCAAGCACTTCAATCAGGTAAAGCAGCTTATACTGATCAGTGGCATCCAAAAGTTACCACTGCCTTCCCTCTCACACTCTTCAGTCTCACTCATCTTTTTAAAGGTGATTTGAGACTGATGAATATGGCTTCTTAGAGCACAGTATGATACAGCTATACTGATGAAACAAGAATTGAAGAAAGTATTTGGGCAAAAGCAAGTATGAACTAGTGGTACACATGTGGTGATTCTTCACTAAGAGCAATAATTTTTCTGGAGCAAGAACTACCGTTGTCTTTGCTATGCACAACCTCTAGCTGTGATTCTTGTGCATGTTAGGTGTAATCAGACATAGGCACAGCTGCTGGGTTTCAGAGCTTAAATGGTCAATAAGTTGGGTTCACAGCTTGGATACGAACACGGGCTAACTATTAAAACAAAAACAGTCACTGTAAAGGCTGAGAATATATATATATAAAAAAAGGATAAGCTTAAAGGACTGAGCCATCCTAAATGGCGGGGACTGCAACATTCAGATGTGAATGTTACTCTAAAACCTCAAAGTAGTATTCACTGAGAGTCCAGAAATATTCTGTATCAACACGCAGTCCTTTAAATACTTCAATAGTTAGATGGAAATTTCCAAGCAAAATAAGGATAAATATGTGCACGCTTACTAGACAGTTCTTCTTTTTCACAGCTGTTGACACAAAACCTGACATTTAAACATATTCAAGAGGACTCTACAGAGGAAATGACATCATTCACATGAAACAGAACATATTTTGCTTAGGGATGGTAATATGCGGGTTTGTCTTGTTTTGCATCCTGGGAAGCACTGAGCTTTTTGAGCTTTACTAAATATTTTTCTTTTAAATTTCTCATAAGAGGACTATAGAAATTTCTTAAAAGAGGAAACCTGTGCTAGACAAGTAACTCTTGTTTAAAAGTAGTTCTTGTATTTCTTCCAGAAGAAGCTTGAGAGTAAGCAAGCAGTGGCTTAGAAATGAAACCAGAGGCAGGAGATCTGCTATCCTCAAAACTTATTTTGCATTCTATTCTAAATTCAGAACCCACACTGATCAAATGGATTCCAAATTTGGCAAAAAAGAGACCTATCACCCCTCTAGCTCTGACTGCATTTGTTAATGGCTTTATGATAGTTTAAAAAGTAACTCTTTTTTTAGTTTATAAGAGCTTTCAAGACATTCTGATTCCTTCTTTTTCTTTTTAAATTTCCTAGTTTTCCTTTCTACATACTGTGAAATGTTGCCATATGCCATTTAGCAGCATGAACTTTCTCCCTAAAGAGGAATAGTCTCCATCATTACTGCAGAATTGTTGAAATAGATTAAGTCTCTCTGATTTTCCCATGAATATAAATTTGTTGAAGAATTCAAAATTTAGCAAGTACTCTAATTACTTTTCTTTGACCACTGTCTAGTTTAGCACTTGGAAATGATGACGTTTGAAGGATAAATCCCAGCATAAAAAGATGATCTTGAAAATGCAGCTAAGGAATGCAATGACTGCTAGAACTGGAGATGCTAAAGAACTGAGGCATGTAGGATTTGGTCCAGAGTGAATTTCCATATCCTGTTGATCAGATGCATCATTACTTTTTTTTTTTTTTTACTAGATCAGATGACAGGAATTAGAAACAGACTATAGAAAACATCAGGACAGAAGATGTTCATATTGTTTCATGACTGTTCTTATTTAAGTGCAAGATGAGTTTAAGCAATAAATGAAATGGACTGGAAGCAGGCAGATGCAAGATTCCAAAAATAAGTATTTTAGTAGTCTATTGAAGCCCTTTGCTACCTTTCTCAACTTAGAAGAAATACTCCTATGAGGTGGGTTCTGTTCTTGTAAGTACTTTTCTTGGGAGAGGCAGTTGTTAACATACGTGCATTAGGAGAGCTGGAAAGTGAAGCTTGAAGATTGGCTCCTGCAAGCCTGCCCGCACAGTTTGGGCTGGAAGGACTCTGAGAGCAGTTCTGCAAGGCAATTCCAGTTGCAGAGCAGATGCCAAATTCATGTTTCAGTACGCTTGTACTTTACATCAAGACTTCCCTGATATGTTCCAGAAGAACTAAGTCCAAACAGATTTTAAATGCAGATGCTTATGTTACTTGGTTCAGATTGTCACGCAAACTCAGTATGCTTTTTAGAAAGTTTTAATAGATCTAAGTCACTTTACAACATTTGAGTTTGAAGGGATACACTTTGCTGGAAAGATCAGAAATTAAGAACTAAAGAGGTGAATGCCCTCTTCTCTGCAGGTGGGAATATACTTTTATCAATCACTGAGAGAGAGATTTGCATTATGATTTTCAAATCAATATTTTTCTGACAAGCAGGACATATTTAAAATAGCATTTCTAGCATTTCCTTGCTATGAAATAGGCCTAATAAATGCATAACGCTTTACTCTGGAACTTGAATACCACCAATATGAAAAGACCTTTGATCTGCCTGTTTAGTATAAAGCCAAGTATAGATTTCCTAACAATTAACTCACATCTGCCTACACTATGAACATCCATACCTACCCATTCCACCAGTTTTAAGAGATGAAATAAGGTAAGACATGTTAAAAGAGGACTGTTTACAGAAACCAGTGATAAGACATACTGACAACAGGCCTGGGTTATATTTTATTGTTCAGAAGTAGCCAAATTAAATTAAAAAAACCCAAACTCAAATAAAAAAAACACGCAAACCTAAATTAAAGTAGGAATCTGAGGCTTAAATCATGCTTCAGGTTCATCAAAGTAAATACAGGAAAGATTTTCCAAAGTACCTTATGGTGTTAAGACACAACTTTATCTATCCATTCTCTTAAGTGTCTTTTCTGCAGTAGCCCTAAGAGCATGCTCATCTTTTGGCCAACTCTTACACCCCACAGGACCCCACAGTGTGTCTGTGAGCCATCTAGACTTCCTAAAGGCACTCTGGCATGTTGGCTGCATGCAAGATACTACACAAACAGGAGTAGCAGACCCACTCTTCAGGTGCAAGATCTTTTCACTTGCTGAGCAACTGAATGCTTAACCACCAAGACACCTTTAGAAAATCACCGCTTTAGGAAACATCATTTAAAGCTCAAGCTTTTACTAAATTTGCAAACTAATATCTATTCACAGTCTGTCTTCGAGGGACAAAGGCCCATAAGAAGTGCTACCTCATATCAGAAGGCACCAAGCATTTTCATGAAGCCAATGAAGACTGCATAGCCAAGGGAGGGACACTGGCTATCCCAAGAAATAGCGATGAAACAAATACTCTCCGAGACTATGGCAAGAACAGTATGCCTGGAGGGTCTGAGTTCTGGCTAGGTGTCAATGACATGGTAAATGAAGGAAAGTTTGTTGATGTTAATGGCATGGCTCTACAGTACTTCAATTGGGATCATGCCCAGCCAAACGGGGGGAAGCGTGAAAATTGTGTCTTCTCTTCAACACAAGGCAAGTGGGTGGATGAGGTCTGCCGTACTGCCAAAAGATATATTTGTGAATTTCTGATCCCATAATTCCATACACAAGTGATCATGACCGCATTTTGGGTTATTAACATGCCATCTTTTCTTGTTAGCAGCCCCTCCCACTTAGACAGTGGTGAGTTAAAAATATCCATCTGTTGCATTATACTCGCTCTTTCCTGAAACAGAATTTTTCTTCATTAATTTATTTTCTACTCAGATGCTTAAAATGTTATGTGTAGTGAGTGCTCTCATCATGTACAGGAATACATGCTATGTTTTGACCTATATTGCATCGTATTTTGCCATATTCTTTCAGCCTGATGTTCAGGTTACTGGGGTTCACTTTCATTTCTGCACATCTTCATGGTAGAAAGGTTTTTACTTGATCTCACATCTCTAGTGAATTTATTGAAAGTATACAAGAAGATTGCTGTGTGGAGACACGTTCTAACAGAAGATGTAGGGCTCTTCTCTGTTCCAGTGCTTAAGGAACATATTGGGGTTTATCCTGGGAAAACGGCCATCCTCCTTACAGAGTGTAACAGGATGGATTTGTGACCAAGACTTTTACCTATGAGATAGGAAAGATAAAAAGGAAATCTGATGATAATTTTTAAAGCACACAGAGTTAAATAAGATACACTGCTACAAAATGGGGGAAGTAGCTATTATAAATATCAGGTCTAAGCATGGTTGTTTCTAAATGTCTCAATTATGGTTAAATATTAGATATCACTTGCAGCATTTCTGTAGAAGAAACCAACCTGGGACTTGATCATGGTGCTAGCATGTAATCCCTTAGAAAGATGTGCAAATGCCTCTCCTGCTGGATCAGAATGAGGCTTTATTATTCAGGCATGAATGGAGAGGAAGGGTTCCCTCTCAGGCACAACATACCCCCTCAATCTCCTCCCTCCATATTGTGCGTAGCATGCCTTGCTGGCACAGATGAGTGGGGCCAAACCATCACTCACTGAGCCATGTGCAGATTTTTCCATTTGATACCCAACATTTGAGCTAGCTATTTTTTGCTATTCTTAACATCACAATACATATTTGCCTTCACGTTATAAACTGCAGTTTCTCCATCATGTAAAGGAATTTCAATAAATGATTTAAATGTATTGTTGCTTGGAGGCTAATTTCTACTTTTTCTCTTTTAATTGTGCAAGATTTTCTTAAATTGTGCAATAAATTTGCAATTACTGATATTTAAATGTAGTAGTGTTTTTAAGAGCTTTAGCATACATGCAAAGGCCATTATTTTCAAGTGCTTTCTTGAGGATTCATAAGAACTTTGGGTGTTGTATACCACATCTTCACTGTACATACATGCCACAAGACAAAATCCCTACTTGCCTGAGTATCATATAAGATGCAAGCACTCTGTGCAGCCCTGTAATATGTATTGCAATTAATACAATTTGCCAGCATGTAGGCCTAATTCTGAGTTGTCTTACTTGGATCCCTAGTTAAATAAAGGAGCAAAAAGTCCCCAAAATTTTCTATCAGAATCTACCAACTGTGGTTAGGAAGCAATATTCCCGTTACCTATTTTGTAACACAATTAGAAGTTTGCAGTCATTTCCTATGGCTTCTTTACCTCTGCCTGAAATAGTGTGTTATCTGAGCATATCCCTACAGCTACAAGCAAATTGCAAGTTCAGTGCAAATTCAAAAACCTTCTTACTGCAAACAACTATCAAAGTTCGATGAGTTTATAAATTGATAATCAATATTAAGATTCACAGCAGAACTCCTGATTAAATAAGTAATAACGGCAGAGATGAAGTAAACTGGAAAATGACAGAAAAAAATCTGATGTGGCTGGAGATGGAAAGGAAATGGTAGGATGATGAAAATCTCTTGGAAAGGCCTGCAGTGGCAGCAAGACAAACAGAAAAGAAAGTAGAAACATAGCAGGGAGAAAAACTTTGAAAAAGTTTGATGAGGTCCTATCAAATCAACCACCACTACCTCCTGTCTCAGTGCACCTGTGTGAAGGGAGCTCAGAGCAAGGATAAGTATCTGCTGCAAGGTGGGCTGGCTCTGACCCACCAGTTCTCTGCACAAGTTCTTATCACCATCCTTCTCTGTGTTTCCTTTTTCTGGATAACACTCAGTACTACTTGTGTTTTCCATTTGAGTAGATTGGGCTTCCTTCTCTAGTCTTTTGTCTACCTAGTCTCTTCCAATTAGTTTTTTTTAAATCCTCTGAGGTCTCCCGGTGATGTTTTCACTGCAAGTTCCAGCTCTGAGTTCTTCATCTCCTCACCAAGTTGTGCAACAGGACATAACTGCTACTTTCAGGTATGTGACTGCAAATCAACTCCGGAAAAAGCTGCAACACTCCCACCCAGTGGTACAGCAGCAGAACGCAGAACACAAGTCTGAAGCGCCATTTAAATGGCATTTACTGTACAAAACACTGCTTTCAGTTCCTTCCAGTTATTTTCTAATAATGTTTGCAGGAAAATAGAAATTTTTTTTTAAAGACTTAATATTAATTTTCAGAAGTGCTTGTCACTAAAGCTAGACATACATTATTTATATATCTGATGACAAGTATTAGCAAATGTCCATTTTGGGCAGAAAAAAAATAAGACTTTATTGAATTCCAGGTATGTTATAGATTCTGCCTTGACAGCATAGCTGTCTTGCTACAGAGCTGCATCGCTTTGCTTCTGTCATATGTATTTCAGCACATAGTAATGTGAGCTTACACACACAAATGTAACCATAGCCCTTTTACTTACTAATATTTCCTCCCTCTTTCTCCCACCTTTTTCTCTTGATTTTTCCTGCTGCCATTTATTTTTCTCCATACATTATTCTTTTCCACAGTCCTCATACATACTTATCAACCCCTCTGGGCAAGAAAATTCTCTAGGACGCAGAAGTCTGCTTCTGTGTATTTAAAATTATATCAGTTAAGGCTACCCGCTATGCCTTCACCGCTTGTCAGTTCCTGCTCTGAAATCTCCACCGAGGGAGCGGATCTCCCGTCTGAACTGTCAGGAGCAAGCAGCGGGTGTGGTGCAACAGAGGGATTTTCGGGGCAATGTGCTGCTCGCAGGATCCGGCCCGGCGCAGCCCGCGCATCCAGCGCTTACAGCTGCCCTCTCAGCTTCAGCACCGGGCGCCGGCGGACAGCGCCGTCCCGGGGCGGCTGCCGAAGTGCTGCGGTCTGCCCCGGGATGGCGCTGTCCGCCAGCGCCCCGTGCTGAAGCTGCGGGGGCAGCTGGTGAGCGCCTCGTGCAGAGGAGGTCCTCCAAGCGGGGAAAACTGCCTCTGACTGCATGGCAGAGGCTCTGCGGGGTTCTGCCCCAGATCGTCCGGGAGCAGGACTGCAAAACTTGTCCCTGGGTCTCCCTTTGGAGAATTCACGCCCTAGCTCTGCTCCTGAATGAGGGCTGCATCTTCTACACCTTTGAAATACATGCAATTTATGATTGTTTTATATAAATTCAGTGTTTTGATTTTTGATTTTTTTCTTAAGTTATCACGTATGCCAGGAGTTTTGCTCTTTTGTGAGATGTTTAAGTCATCTAGAAAATCGGTTGAAACAGATATTTTTTTGTATCACTTGCACTGTAAATAAAAAGATATTTACCACATATTAATTATATATTTAGGAAAATCTGTCTCAGCTGGTCATGCTTTTGGAAGGCTGGAGTGCAAAAATAATGATAGGAGGAGAAGAAGAGATGAGGGACTATCAAAAAAGGAGAGAGAAAGGATTAAAAGCACAAGCTTTTTTCTTAGGGTAGAATCAAGCTTTAACCAGTAGTGCCCAACAGCAGCAGAACTAACCCTTTGTAGAACATGACTGATTTGTTAAAATTTTACCTATATGTAATCAGAGTTGCCTCTTCTAACTTGCAATATTATCATGTTCTTGTTTTCAGGTCCTTCTTGCATACATGGTAAAACAAAGCTCCTATTCAGAATAGTTTACTGTTTGGATTAAAAAAAGAAAGATTACAAACCCCATTTTACATAGGAGAAGATGAAGCATAAGGAAATTAAGGATTGAAATTAAGCATTGCTTAATAGAGTCCTCATGCCAAAAGTACCCTCTCTTCCAATAGAGACCCTGAATTTTCCTCCAAAAAAAAAAAAAAAAAAAAGGCCACATCATGTCAACTTTATTTTTGATTCTTGAATCAGATAATGCTACGCTTAGCATTCAATTAACAAATACTGTACTTCATATTTACTTCAGAACATCTAGAGTAATTATGTTAGCATGTGCTATATGATTAGTACAGCAAGTGAGTTACTGTTGAACTGCTCTGTAAATCTAACATACTGTTAAACAAATTATCATTTTATAGATTTAGCTGAGCACTCAATTTGAGCTAGCTAAAGCAGTGTGAAAAGCAGCAAGATTAAAAGCATGAAGCAGAACATGGCCAGTACCTAATTAAGCAGGGAACAATATGGTGAAATGAAAATGTGGATAATGCATGTGAATTTATTATAGGAAACCTGTTCAAATTTGACAGGACACTATTTCAGTTAATTTCCATTCAAGACTGAGTTATTTGTCTTTGTTCAAATACATTTTATTTTGTATACTTACAATGTTATGATTTTAAATAGTTAGAGAAGTGGAACGAAAAGAAAACAACTTCTGTTTCACTCCAAATATATTTCATACGCACTACACAAAGTTAAACCATTCCATATAAAAATATGGCTACTGTAAAGATTTAAGATTTTTAGTTAGTAAATGACAGGAGTTAAGCAAATAGATTCCTCTGCTACTTTCATCTCACCTGGTTAGAAGTAACACCCACATTGAAGTCAAACTTAAATGTTAAGACATATACCAGAGCAATACACTAAAATGCTGAAAACAAACTAGTATTGCTAGTAATTTTTTTTCTGAGCATTCAACTCTAAAAATAAAAAGAAAAAACAAACAAAGAAATAAAAAGAATTAGAACTGAGAACCATTTTGGTTTTGGTTACTAGAACCATTTTGGCAATGCTGGTATTATTTGTTCTGAATAACATCAGATTTTTTCTTGAAAGCCTCTGAA